TTCTCTAATAAAGTTTGACAGAATGATAACTTGCCCATGAAAAGCGTTGTAATAAATACATTTTCCATAACTTTATGCCATTCTTGCATGTCTGCCTCATAAACCTTGGCTGTGGTTCACCAGTTCGGGACCTCAGGCTCTCTCTGAGGGACCCCCATCCTGGGCTTTCCCTCTGACCGGAAAACCTTGGGGTCTTTCCTCTCCTTGTTCGACGGAGGGGTTGCTGGAACGGGTCTCTATTCCTGGCCTATGGTCTCCTACCCTGTGCCGAGGGGGGGGGCGAACCTTTGGCTCTCCAGACCAGTCCCTGGGCTGGCCTCCCTCCAGCTGAGCTGCAGCAGCGTGGCCCCAATTAGGCAGCAATTGCTCAGAGTGCTCTTTATTCAGTGACTTTTATGCTGGACCATCTTCAGTTGACTTACTTCACCAGCTGACTGCAAAGCCTCTAGAGATGCTTCTCTGCCTGCTTCACAAGCAGGAGATGCCCAGCCAGGACCCCTGGGGAGGTGGGGGGGCAGTCCCCTCTTGCTTCTCTCCTGCCCTGGGGCTGGGTTTAAGGGCCACATCCAAGGATGTCTCCTTATTTGAGAGCTGAAAGGATGAGCTTAACGAATTGGGAGCCCAAGGCTCTCTCTTCCTGGGCTCAGTCTCCGCCCTGCCCTCCCCAGGCCGAAAGCAAAGAGGGGGGGCTCAGGGTGTTCCCAAGAAAGCCCTGGGGACTTCTCCAGGGGCTGCGCATGGGGGAAGGCAGCCAGATCCCAGAGGGGCAGCCCAGCCTTGGCTGCCGTCCTACCAAGCAGAGCACTTGGGAGGGTTTCCACTCTGCTTCCTTCCGCCAGGCCAGCACACCCAGCCTTTGCCTCCAAGCAGCCCCCCCCCCGCCCAGTCCTTTATGATCCTTTATGCCCACCTGGTCACAGGCCTTGCTCAACAATGTTGAGCATCTCTTGTCCCTGCCCTCCCTGCCCCCCCCCCATTGCTCAGCCACAAAAGCTCTTCCTTTTCCTGGGCCAGCAACAACCCTCCCCCCCCCCGTGGTTTGGGTTGCCCAGCAGAGAACACAAGGCAGGGCAGCAGTGGGGGGGGGAGGCTATCCCACCAAGAAGGCTGCAGAGGGGAGAGTCAGGGAGGCCCCTTGGAAGGAATGCATTAAAATACTGGACTATTTGGAGGTGGGGGGAGGGGGGCTTGGAATGAAGCTCCAGAAAGCCCCCCCTAGGGCTGTTAAACAAAGAGCAACGTTCTCCAGGAGGCAGAGGAGCTTGCAAGTGGGGGGTGGGGGGAGAGAGAACGGGGACCCTGCATTCTGTGGAGGATAAAGGGCTCCAAGGGATGCTCTCCGTCTTTTAACTTCCAAAGATGCTGTGCCAGTTCACCGCCCCCTCTCCCCCCCCCAAAAAAACCCCTTTTCACCATAATGTGGTCTCTCTGAAGAGAGAGGCACTTTCTGACAACCACGGCTTCTGGGTGTGATGGCTGGGCTTCAGCACAAGCCCAGGGAAGAATTGAGTGGAGGCAAGGGGCTGGGAACTCTGGCCCCTTGGCTTCACTCAGGGCCAAGGGGGAGCCAAGGGGGGGGAGATAGCTGACCTTCCTGAGTGACCCCTCCCTTGGCAGTCCTGCCTGACTGGGGCCTTTGGACAGTGTTAGAAGCCGGCATCTTCCTCACACGGGTGCCCAGGACTCCCCAAGCAGCCACCAATGGTCTTGGGACAATGCTTCCCAGCCGGTGTACCTGGGCTCCATAATTCCCAGCCAGAATGATGAATGCTACAGTTCAGGGTATCCAGGAGACGAGTCGCAGAAGACAAAAATCGCTTAACAGAGCTGATGCCCCAAGAGCTGGGTTGATTAACCCTCCTCAGTCCCTGGGAGAAACAGGGACCCCATCTGGCCCCCCTCATTAAGTGGCTCCCATGTTCTCCCATGTTCTCTCAGCAAATGCAAAAATGACTCTTTCAAAACACTACAAAACACATTTTGTAGGGAAAATGAAGAAGAACCTAACTGAAAAGGTCCAACAATCACCAGTAACATCATATTTATTGTTATTTAGTTGCTCAGTAAAACATATACAGATATATACAATATGCATGAATAGAGAAGACTGCACTTTACATATTTAAAAAAGAAAGAAAATAACACTCACTTTTATGAGCTTTTGTCACAGTCTTCCAACCGAGCCTTGAGAAACCAATTTAAACTAAATTCCTAGGAAAGGGGCTGGGCGAGGGGAAGAGGCGGGAAGGGGCAGATTACAAGTTGCTCTCCATGTTAGTATCTTACATGTGCAATAACTTTGCTTCTTCTTCTTCTTCTTCTTCTTCGGACTGAGCAGGAGGGATTTAGCTGGGGGGGGGGAAGGGGCTCTTTTTCAGTACAATGAAAATAAGGACATCCTTTTCTTTTAGGATTTGTTTTTAAAGCTGCGATGGCTGGGGAATTGTGGCAGGGATGAAACCAAGAAAAAGCAATTGGCAAGTCCCCCGAAACTTAATTTTATCCTAAAATCTTGGTTAAAATATCTGGCTTATTTTAGATTGCTTTCCCCCACCAGAGAAGCTGCTGTAATTGTGCAGAGCAATTCTGGACCTTTGGCTGAGGAGGCCCCCCCCCCCAGCCTTTCCAGAGAGGAGGGGCCGTTCAGAAAAGGTTGACCTGATTTAGCCGCAAAGTGGTTTCCTGCAAAGGGGTGCCGGTGGCCTCGGGTGCCCCACGCCCGCTTAGATAGTGGCTGTGGCCCAGATTAACAGAGGAGGGCACCCAGCACTGCCCTCAAGCAACAAAAGAGCCATTTGTGTGCGCTCTCTCTCTCTCTCTCTCTCTCTCTCTCTCTCTCTCTCTCTCTCTCTCTCTCTCTGTGTGTGTGTGTGTGTGTGTGTGTGTGTCTGTGTGTCTGTGTGTGTCTTCAGCAGGTTTCCTGTGATTTTTATCTGGACTCTCTGCCTGAAGAGTTCTGCAAATCCACAGGGTTTTTTTCCTTTCCTTTTCTGCACAGTGCAGGGTGTTACTCAACTAAATGCTTTTAGTAGGCAGTTTACTGATAATTTCTGACAACTCTATTGTTATTTTATTGTTTTACTGTTAAAGCTATTTTCCAGTCATTTTAAACATCAGCTGAAAATATTTTCTCTCTTTGCCTGAATGAAGTTTGAATTTGCTGTTTTCATTTTAACATTGTTGCTGTCTATTTGGGATTTTCTTTATCATTGTTATTCTTATTTTAATGCTTCAATTCCATTGATTCTATGCTGATTTTTCTTCTTACAAAAGCCTACTTTCAGAAAACAACAGGATAAAGACCCCCACCTGACCCACCTCCCTTGGCAGATCACTGGCTGTAGGAGGGTCGCCTAGCAGCCCCCAGACGGGAGAGGGCAGGAGAAAACCCTGGAACGTCGTCCGTGGGGCAACTCCAGAGGCTGGCAGAGGGGCAGAACCAGGGGGGAGCTGCTGCCTCTGAGCCAAGACGAAACCTCCCCGTACAGGTGCAGACAGCCAGGACAGGAGGCTGATCAAAATTTGACCTGCCAGCAAAAGGGGAGAAAAAGTCCACAAAAAATCCAGGACATTAAAAAAGAAATGCACCCCTCAGGTTTCTTAGATTTCAAAGAAGAAAAGGCAACGGGGTGGGGAGCTTCCTGTGGCCGGGAACTGGGCCTGCTCTGCAGAGGACCCCTGCCCCTGTGCCCCCCCCCCGCTTTCTCAGCAGACAACCCAGACCGCCAGGAGAGCCTGGGCAGAGGGAAATCCGGTGGAAACTGAGCACTCAGCAGGACTCTCTTGAGGCACCAGGTGGGCTGGCTCAGAGCAGCCTCCTTCCTGCTGCTGCTGCTGGAAATGCCAACCTGAGGCTGGAAATACCACCCCGGGCCCCCAGCCGCAGGGGAGTTCTTCCGTCCCCTCTGGCCAGGCTGGCACCTCTCCTGACCTCCTCCCCGCAGCCAAGCGTGGCTCACTGCCCCTGCTCTGCCGCTTTGACTCCCTGGCAGCCAGAGCAGCACCACCAGAGAGCCGGCTGGATGTAGCCAGGCGGAAGCCTCGGACTGGGCTCCACAGAGGGGCCTCTCTCTGCAGGAAGTGGAGGAAGACAATGGGAGGCTGTGGGCAGAGCAGGAGGACCCGGCTGGGCTGCTGGCCGGGTGGAGGAGGCCCCCTCCCTCCCTCCCTCCCTCCCTCCAGGAAAGGCACTCAGCTGTCAAGGGGAGCCGGGCAGGCCCTGAGAGCAGAGCTGCCACTGAGCGCGCTTGCAAGCACACACACACACACAGACACACACACAAAAGAAAAACAGGCGATCTGAGGCTTTGTGCCAGAAAGCAGAAACCAGGCAGCTGCAGGAATGAGGTGGGGAGGGGAGGCAAGGGATCAGCTTGCATCCCCCCCTCCTCGCCCGCCCACCCGCCTTCTCGCTCTCCAGTGAGACAAAGGACGGTCTGAATCCTTGGCTGAGCACTGATGGTGTTTGGCTGTGGTGGGCAGGAAAGGCAAAAGCTCGGGGGTCCCTCGAGCAGCTTTTGGGATGGCAGTTTCCCTCTGAGGGGTTTGGACTTTGGTGCTGCTCTCCAGGTTACCCTCTCAGACTTCTGAGAAGAGGGGAGGGGAGCACGAAAAACCTGAACCCATCCTGCCTCCCCATGACCCGGCCCTGCTTGGCCTCACCGCCGGCTCCTTGCTCCTTCCTTCGGTGCACCTGCTCCTCCTCCTCCTCCTCCTCCTCCTCCTCCGGCAGGAGAAATGGCAGCTGTTCTTTCCTTTCTTTCTTTCCTTCTTTCCTTCTTTCTTTCTTTCTTTCTTTCTTTTTTAAAAAGGTTGAGTTTGTTTTAAATTAATCCTTGCCAGTCTGTATGCTGCCAAACAGATACCAGCCTAGAAAAACTGTCCAGCTAGTAGCAGCGGCTGGTTAAACATAAAAAGAACAGAAGAAAACCACCACCTTCTCCTCTTCCTCTTCCTCTTCCTCTCCTCCTCCTCCTCCTCCTCCTCCTCATCTTCCTTCTTCAAGTCAGGGCAGCCACAAAAGTCCCAAATCTGTTGGAGATGTCCGAGTGCAGGGATCTCCACGTTGGCACTGCAGTCCGGCCCTTGGCGTCACCCATGTCGTCTGTGCAGTGGACAGAGAGACACTGCAAGTGGCTGCCCGTCTGTGCTGGAGCCAAGGCCTTGCTAGAGGGGAGGTCGTGGGCTGCAAAAGGAGGAGGAGAAAGAGGTTAGGCTGGGTGCCACCAGGGAGCCACCAAGAGCAGCATGCAGCTGGGGCTTCCTCCGGAGCCACTCCGGGCTGGGAAGGGGCCCCCGAGGCAAGAGGAGAGCAGGTCAGGGCCGGGGCCCCAGGCCAGGCTCCGGGCAGAGCAGGAAGGGGTGTTGAGGCTCAGCCCTCAGTTCCCAAAGCAGGTGCCAGAATTCCTTGCTCTTGAAGAACTCTCCACAAGGAAGTCTGGGTTGCCCTGAGCCTGAACTGCTGGCAGCCAGAACATCCCGCTGGGCCTCTGCGGAGGTTCTCCCCAAATTCTGAACAGAGCCGAAGCATTCGGGTTTGGAACCGCAAAGGCAGCCATGCGATCCATGGCAGAGCTGAGAAGGGCATGCCCCCAACTTCCCCTCAAGGCTTCTTCCTATGCCAGGCTGCTGAAAGGGCAAAACATGGAACACAGACCCTGGGCAGTTGCCCACCTCTCTAAGACCTGGTGCTTGGCAGCTAACCTGAGTCCACCCCATTTCACAAAAGTCTGGCATCAGAGAAGCCACTGACCTAGATGCTCATCCCACACCTCTGCCAATGTGCTGGCACAATTCCTGGCAAACCCCGAGGTCTGCCGGCCAGCCGGCCGGCCTGCCTGCCTGATGCAAGGCTAATGGCTAATGGCCCAGAGCATCCGGCCAACCATAAAGATGCCACGAGGCTGAAGGCACCTCCTCCCTGGACGCGCTGTCGGGCCATGCGGTTCTGAGAGCACCCCTCCCCCGCCTCTCTTCGTTCGAAACACCCCGTGGGGCAAGATCCTTTTCACCAACTCTCTCCTGTGACAGTCTGACATATCGGTTTGGACACCTGCCTGGGCACTCCTGTGAAAAGCCTGCTGCCGAGGATGGAGCGCCAATGCCCAGCGACCCCTCCGGCTTTCGCATCGGCAAAGCAAGCGCTTTGCACAGCGGCATTTGGAAACGAGAGCGGCAGGGACCCACGTGAGCCCGCCCGAGGGCAGACAAAGCAGGCACATGCCTGCCATCCTTGTGCACATCGCTCAGCCAAGGGCCCACCCTCTTTGGTCAGCCTTTGTGCACTGCACTCCTCTCTCGCAAGCCACCCCTCCCCCTCGGGGGCCTGATCCTGGAGCCTCGTCTCAGCGGTGCTCTCAGTCCACAGGCAAAGGTGCCCGTTTCCAGCTGGCAATGCTTCGCCAGGGGTGTTTGCCAGCCAAGGTTGGCTTGGCTCCTGGCAACGGATGTGATCCTAGCCTGCACACGGATTCCCATTGCAAGCACACCCTCATCTTCTGCCCATGAGAGCTGAATCAGAAGCTGTGTCCCTTTCTGGAGCCAGCTGGCTTGCCAAGGAGCTGCTGGATGCAGCCCAGGAAACCACAGGCAGGATCCCTTCTGCCACTTGAGAAAGCCAAAGGACGCTCTCGAGCACCGCACTCTCCCCACTCAGCCACTGGAGATTGCGCACCCCTCCCTCGGCACAAAGGGGGGTGAGGGAGGAGAGGCATGTGCCCAGCATGAGCCCAGCACCCATCTGGGCTCAGCAAGTAGCCCGTTTATCCCAAGCCCGTCTAGGCACTCCTGGGTTAGCAGTGCAGGAAAACCGCCTGTGATCTTCGCCAGCTCTTCTCTCCTGACAAGATGATGAATTGAGGTGCCCGAGAGATTTCTATCGTAAGGGGCCCATGTCGCCTGAATGTTTGTGTTGCTCCCAGTGCTCAAGAGCTGGCAAGGGGCTCCTGGTTTTTGGCTTTTGCAAGGGAAGACAGATAGGGGCAGATAAGGCAGCCTGCTCCAAAGTGCAAAGCTGGTTGCACCACTAAGAATTCAATTCTGTTTGCATTTGCACCCAGGACGGCAAAACAGAATGCTCACCCCAAAAGTGTGTGGAGCCCCCCCCCAGTCCTCCTCTTTTCTCTGCCCTTCCCCTATTTCCAGACAGCCTTGGGCTCTTCTTATTCCTGCCCCTTTGAGAAGGAGGTTCAGGTGAGCCTCGTGCCCGCCAGTAAGGAGGCCACAGGCTTTCTGGGGAAAAGCCAGGGGGAGCAGGGCTGCCCTTCTCTTTCCAGTAAGCCAGCAAGTCCACTTCCTGAGAGAAGCCGTGTTCGTATCTCCCCTTAGTTTTCACCTAAACTCTGTTCAGGAAGCAGGATGGACCAACCTGGCTGACTAGGGGGCCGCCCGTCGGATAACGTAAGGTGTCTGTCTGGTCATTGAGGAAGTAAATTTAGCTATGGAATGGAGATATTGATCGGAAATAATTAAAGCAATTATTCACAGATTAAATAGGCTACGGATGGTGCAACCGCCCTCCTGACTTCTTTATAATCCTTCCATGTGTAAAAAGCACCTGGGGGGGGTCTGATTTACAGAAACGTCACTAGCCGTTGAGGGGCAGGTCATTACTTGGGGCATTTGACCAGCTGATTTCAAAACCAGCATTGCCAATTCTGAAAGCTGCCCAATTGCTGGGAGCTTCTCCGGTTGCCAGGGCGCTGCCCTCTTTTGCCCATTCAAGGCTCAGCCCGAGAGAATCTGGTCTGCCCATCGGAAAACAAGATTTCAATAGTGTCTTAAATGTTGAGCACAGATTAAAATATAAGCTGTGAATTAATAACAGTGAGCTATAAATAGCAGGCCATGGGGAAGCTGCTATGGGCTCCTCCTGCAAGCTGGAACAGAAAAGCCCGTCCGAAGGGCCGACGCTGGCATGGGACGCAAAGCCCCCACCAGTGAAGGAGGCTTAGGGGGGAGGCTTCCCAGGGACCCCTTTGTAGTGTCACTGCCTCCCTCGACGGGAGCCGTGCCTTTGGCTTCCTTTCTTCTCCCTCCAGGTGAGCGGATGACTTGGCACCGCTTGGAAACCGCAACAGTCCCAGGGAAAGTGCCTGTTCAGGCCTTGCTGCCCATCGCCAGCAAGCTTAATCCTCTGATCAGCCACCAACTCCTGATGACTTTATAAGAATTAAATTGCATTGATCCCAAATTCCCAATTTGATGATGATGATGATGATGATGATGATGCATATTTACCAAGACTCTTCAGGGGAAAAAGCAATTAAATTCTATACAATAAAATTAGTTTACAACATAATAGCCAATCCAATAAACAAATAATTAAAACCTCAACAAAACAAGCAAAAACCTACAATTCAAACAGTTGCATATATGGCCAAATGTAATAACTTAGCATCTACTAGGTTAAGGAGCGGTGGGAAGGATACCCAGGCCCACCTAACCTCTCCTAGCCAGTGAAAGTGGAGTCTAAAGGTTTGCAAGATTTTCGGGGATGAAGGGAAGGAGGAAGAAATGCAGAGTCGGGAGAGTAACTCCGGACGCACGCAAGAAGCAGCCACCCAGCCACCTCTCAACTGCTGCCGCCTCCAGCACCTCACCCTGGACACAGCTTGGCCCAGCAGACTCTTCCTGCCTCACCGGGGAAGCCATGCGCTCATATGTTGCAACATGTCTAACATGTATATGGAGCATGACAAAACAAAATGCCCAGTCAATTTAACATGCTAAATCTGTTGGTCCATTTATACGCATTTCATGGGAATTTTAAAATGGGGATTCAAAAAAGGTGATATTAAACAGATTCCCTCTGTTAAATGAAGTAACTATTTATATTTTTATAAAATCTTCAGCATATCTCACTCAGCCTAGAGGAAAAATATGAAAAGGAAAAGAATTCTATAACAACTTTAGATGAAGTGTTTTTCTGTGCAGAAAAAAACCGCATAGCTTGCCTATTTAGGAAGCATGAATTTGCAGATTCCAAAGGGTGTTATTAGCAAATCCAAGAAGCCCTTTTCCTACTACACATTTCTTTACACTCCTGATCTAAGACCTCCCATGTGGCACCGCCTGCCTCTGAAATGGCCACCAGCGGCCCTCACGTCACTGGCAAATGGTCCAGAATGCCCCCTCCCCCACAGGAAGAACCAGCCAGAGCAGGGAAGATGCTGGGGGGGGGGGCAGAGGGGGCAGTGGATAAAGGACCCCACAGAAAGCAGAGGGGCTGAGCTCCCAGTCCCAGTTGGTGCTAAGTGGCACCACGGCTGCAGAGCCTCCGGCGAGGGGATCTCTCCAGTGCAACGCTCCAGCCAGGCCTCCTGTCTTGCTCTCCTCCCGCTTGTGGCCCTGCAGTCTGAAGCTGCTCTAGGGAGAGGGCTGCTTGTGCGAAGCCCCCTCCCCTCTGGACTCAGCCCTGGGCATCTGGGGCAGGAAACAGGGTGAGGAGGCTTCCAGAGCTTCCCTTTTGCCAATGCTCTCAGTGCCAGCTCTGCCTTGCTTCCGCATCTGCCGTGTTTCACCCTGCTATTTCTTTTGGCATTCTGCCCTTCTGCTGCTTCACTTTACTTTGGTGGATTTGTATACATATTTATTTAAAAAGGTAATGCCCCCCCCTTCCATTTTGTCCAAACTCATAACTAACAACTCTTTCTTTTAGCCCTGCCAGCATTTGCAAGCATGAGGCTACTTAAAATAAACAAATAATGTTCCTTTGCAACCCTTCAGGGCTGTGTGTGTTGCAGCAATTATTTTTGAACCCCCAAAGACGCCTCCAAGGTGGATCAGAGAGGGCAAAAGCGCAACAGCCCTTGGCCGAGCTGGTTGCAGAGGCCCAGAAGGAGGAGGCTTCGGTATCCTTAAGGAGAGGCCGATGGACAGCAGAACAGGCTACAACCACACCCCTGGCCAAATCTCACTCTTTGTTCCCTCACCCTGGCAGCTTCTGCTCCTCAGATTCAAAGCGATAATTCCATCTGCTGACTGGATCCTGTTTGGGAATCATAATGGCCCAGCCCAAACTGTTGGACTGAATGAAATCACCGGGGGGAGGGGGGCATCTTCTTAAACAATGGGAATGCCTAGCCACGAATCATACCAAAACTGATGCACATTTTACCTCTCCAGAAAATAAACCGTAGAGAAATATAAAATTGCACACACACAAAAGTAAATCCTGTTCAGCAA